ATGTACAGAAAAGAATACTGGTACATACCACAATATGCTATGAAGAAATGCTTCTTGTTTTATCACTTTAGGTTTTGTTTCTTTTTATTTAAAAAGACAGAGAAAATAAGATAAGGGGGAAAAGCCTAATAATTAGTGCCATTATTTCTACACTTAGTGAATAGAAAAGAAAGCTTGCTGCATTCCTTGACATAAAGCTAGGATTCTGATATATTTTTTGTACCTTTAGGTTAATATAACAGAGAGAGATCAGTGTCCTCATTTACAATAGGGATAATAGTACCTACCTCATAGGGTTCTTGTAAGGATTAAATGAGTTAATATTTGTGAAGTGCTTAGAACAGCACCTAGCTCACAGGAAGCACTAGTAAGAGTGTGATTGATAGAAAAAAGATGGAAATCAAAATTACTGCAATCATACTAAAAAGGGTCTCAGAAAACCAATATATAACAAGAGAAAATGCCAAATAAGACCACATAGAAACTTATTACAGATTTACAATTCAAGAGTCTGAGTAAACAACAACAATTCTTCAATATAAATATGCCTGACACATCACATAGTGATTAAATTGTGTAAAACACCGTATCTGCTTTGAGTGACCATAGTTACAGGAGAGGGAAATTGTTTCACAATAGACATACTCAGAAACATAACTTCTCATTCAAATACATCAAATATATCAGACAGACATACAGTTTTATTTTATTGTTCCATTACGGTCTTGATTATCTAAATCATGTATCTGACCAATTAGATTACCCACACGGAAAACCTTTATTCTTGGGCCTTAACTTGTGGCTTACAAAGTTCAAAGTGTACTTAAGCCACAGTTCAAGGGAGTCACCTTTTAGTTAATTGGGAGGATAAGTGGGGATGAGTGAGCAGGACCAGCATCACTGCGGTATGACTGGCCAGCCTCCGGAAACTGTTACTAGGTAAACAGACCTCAGGTACTTTGCTTTAGGATCTGGACCATAAAGTGTCAAAGAGATGATTAGAGCCACCACGGTCTCTCCCCCAAGCCCCCATCCCCTTGCTACTAAGCCTGCAGCCTCTCAGTATGTACCGATCTCCCTTTTAAACACTTTAATTCTCTGCCACCTCCACCTCCTAGTCCTTTGGTTTTCACTTCAACTGGTTATAAGGTAAAGAAGCAGGGATGGAGTTCAAGACACTTAGGGAAATAAGCAACCACCTAACATGATCCCAAATTTTCCTATCCAACGTTACCACCTCTATAAATGTCCAAAATGTGAAATATAAGGATTGGTTTTTTTTAATGGACTTTATTATAAACTATCTAAGTTTCTAATATTTTTCTGGTTGAAATACAAATTAACCAAATCATATTTTTAAAATAAGCTCTGGGTATATAAAAAATTTTTTTAAACCATTACAAAACTAATTGGTAACTTTTCCCCTGAAAAAAAGGCAGACTGAAAACTAGGCCAAAGGAGAATATTTGGGTATAGTATATAAAGAGTTACACATAAAATAAAAGAAATAATCATAACAGTTGGAAATCAAGTAATTCTTCAACTATAAGAGGTTGATTCTTACGGTTGAGAGAGAACTTTCATGGAACAATATGAAATATATAGAAGGAAACACTTGAAAAACATTTGTTGACTGATGTCCAAAACTATATTATATAACTGCTACAAATAATTGGCACATAGGAAATCAATCATTTACCTTGAACTATATCACTCAAATTATGTACTAGACAATATAAAGATATAGATTTTCCCCAAGTACTTGTGGTTTACAAAATGGCTTCATCTTATGTTCATTTTGAGAGCATAAAAACAAAACACACGCCCACAAAAGTTTTTCAACCTCTATCAATCACTATTAATAATACATGTCACTAAACACCATTTGCTGTCACCATGGCCATGTGTCTCCCATGCCTTTTCTCAGCACGGTAGTTATGATCAATACCTACCATGCACAGGAGGTCAGTTAACAATACCTTATATTTATAGCATTTTTCCTTGAGGTCTCAGGGGCCACATTATTTTCCCCAGCCGCAAATCTAAACCTAAGTGTTCTGGTAATGAAGAAATCATTAAAAAACTACCATCCTTCACAAAGTGCTTTTATAAATGCTACAACACATTGTACTAGATGCTAAATTACCAACCAGTAATCATGTTATCACAGTGCAACCAGAAATTGCAATGTTGACCCAGAAACAGCCAATAAAGGCTTCCGTGGCTTCAGGCTGCCCAAGCAGGCTTACATAGTTACAAACAACCGATTTACAATGGCACAATTTAAGGTTAATCCTAACATAAACGACATTTTTGGCTCGTTTTATATCTTTAGATATGCTTCATAAATTAAGTTACAGAATTCTTCAGGTAGAACAAACATGACTATGATGACAATTATTGTATCGGACCATATTTTACAATTTACACGAAAAATCAGAGTCAGTTTTACTTCAGCAAATTAAGACTCTTAAGCCTAGAAAATTCAGGAAAAGACTCAGGCTGTCGTGAATCAGCGAGTGATGACTAGTATTTTATACCTGAGGATGTGCAGTGCTATTGCCTGCTTCCACCAGGTGGCTAATCTAAACCAGGGACGTAAAGCACACTTTCCACTTACATTTCCTAAGGAGATGCTGTGGATATTATAGTATTTTTTCCTTCACTATCTGGTTATGCACATACCCCAAAACACCAGTAACACAAATAAACATGCCACATTCTTGTTTTTCACTCCACTGACACAAGCTTCATTTCATGCTTCAGAGCTTTTACAAATAAACCACTACAACAAAGCAGTGCATGCAATACATGACTGTTGGTTTCTGTTTAATGACTTTATTTTTGGCAGAAAATGATAGTTTTGAAGATGTCAAACTATACTGAATCTTGTGCCTGTGTGCGCTAGCAGCAAAGGCAGAATACCAGGCTTTACTGTGCTAAATTAACAAAGGACATCTCCGTGCTTCAACACTCAGACTATGGGCCACAACACAAATATGTATGCTAGAACTCAGAGTGTGGGTTTCATCTGGCTGAAAACATGTACACAGTCCTTGCACTTGAATGTTAGATTTGCTAACAAAGATCTGAAGACAGCTGCACTCTTGGTACCTCAGAAAGAACCCAAAAATAATTTATTTTTAGTACAAAACATGAAACTATATTCGGTGTCTATATTACGTGCCTAGGCTTCAATACCCTGTTTGCCTTTCATGCTTAAATGAGAAAATACTTATTTTGTCTCCGGGTTATCTTCTCAAAACAGATCTACTTCATTTTAATCGATGTACCATTTCATTACCATCATCAAAGAGTATTTAGCAGTGCATCTGTGAATCCTCAGCAGGTAAAATTCAGTTTAAAAACAAACCCAATCGTGAAATAATCTGCAAATTGTTATTGCAACTTAAACCCTTTAGTTGCCAATACAATCTTCTAATGAAGTGGCATTACTTAAAATTGCTAGCAAATATGAACAGCCTGAGAAATCTAGTAATCAGCAGGCTAACAGGTGTTGAAATCCCAAAGAGGGAAGAGGAATATTAGCTAATCAGTCTATGCCTGACACCTGAAGTAGCTGTACTATCCAGAATTCCAATCAACTTAACTGCATCTCAAAACGATCAGTGCCAGTTTCTTTTCATTAATTACTTTCTAGCAAAAATATAGTTTCTTTCATTCCATATAATGTTCTCTAAATGACCTATTCTAACTTACACATTATTTTACTAAGTTGGTTATACAATTTAATTAGTTGGCCATTTTCCAGTTATAAATATGCCACCTCATATTGTTTAAATATTTGAAACAAATCATATTAACATATATACAATTTCCTTCTGAACTGATCGGCTGTATTTCTGAAAATGAATGTTTTCTTTCACATTATTACCCGTAAGATAATATCTAAGTATCCGAAAACAAGTCTTCACAATCACAATTTTAATTTATTATTTGTGTCCGCAACAAACTAAATATCACGAAATGATTGCATGGCTTGGGGCCACTGAGGAAACACAAGGGTACCCATAACTTGAGCAATTCCCTATCCAGTACCCGGATGCCCTTGGCAACTGCATCGTGACCCCCGTCATCACACTGAAACACCGATGCAAATACCGCCCAGCTGCCTGCCCTCAGAGGTGTTCTGGATTGCTTCCTTACACATAAAAACACAGGGCATTTTCCAGTTCTTTAAAGCATGAACACAAGACCTCCCAGCAACAAAAGCAGTGACATCGGTGCCAAGTATCTCAGCGACAAAGTCTTGGTCCTGAGATAAACTCTGGTATTGCCGGATGTTGGGAAACCCGGGCTACCTTTCCCATCTAGTTACAGGTGCAACGACACCCTCCAAAGCTAAAGGTCGTTAGAGTCAAAATCCAAACGAACTTCAGAAGCCTCCTCAAAATGCTTCGGCCACAGGCATAAGGTTCACTTTTCAGAGATTTGTAAAAATCTCTCGTTTGTTCCCCCTACTACCCTCCATTCCCTCCTCGAAGAGAATAAACCATGAAATGTGAAAAGTCCAAAGGTAAATATTTTCATACCTTTTTTTTCCCTAAAAGCCTCGATGCCAAAAAAGAGAAAAAGAGAGAGGGAGAGAGGACAGCGGCTCTCGTAAGTAGGCGCCCCCAGCGCCGCGGCTCGGGAGCAGCCCCCGCCGCGCAGCCCCTCGAGTTGGAGCCAGGACGGCGGCGTCCGGGGGAAGGTTCCGCGCTCCCACCCCGGCGCCGCGCGGCCCGAAGTTTGCGGTCCCTGAGCTCGCGCGCTCCGGCGGCCCGGCGCCGTCCAGCGCTGCGGGGCGGGCGGCTCCCGGGTGCGGGGGAGGCCGCGGCGGCGTCGGGGGCAGCCACGAGCCGTCTGCCGGTGGGGACGTGCGCCCCGGGGACTCGGATGCAGCCTGGCGCGGGCGCCCCTCCGTCCCCGCGAAGGGCGGACTCCGCCTCCCCGGCGTCCCGCCGACCCCTGCCGGGCCGCGGGCGCGCTCGCCTTACCTGGCCGGCGGCGGCCGAGGGCCCGGGAGCCGCTCCGGCGGCGGCGGCGGCGGCGGCAGCGGCGCCTGGGAGGGGAGGGAGGCGCCCGCGGAGGAGGAGCTCCGACGAGGAGCGACCGGGCTGGCGGGCGGGCGGCTTTGTCTCCGCCGCGCCGAGCCGCCGACCCTGCGTCACCATGGCAACCGCCGGGGAGCGGGGCCAAGGGAGACCACCCCCCGTCCCCGGCACCAAGGGTCCGGGACCTGGCCGGGCCGCCGCCGCCGGGGTCCCTCGCCCTTCTCCTCGGCAGTCTGGGTGTTCCGAGGGGGGAAGGACCCCCCGTGAGCCGCCACCAGCACAAACATACACCGCTCTCAGTCTCCCTCACGAATCGCCTTTCTCCTCAGCAAGAGGGGAAGGCTAAAAGAAGCCAGCCCAGGGCCAGTTTTTATTTCCATCCTAGCAGGCACTCCTTTGCTTCCCCACACTGGACATTGCAAACCTCCCCCTTCCCCGCACGCACCACCACCACACCTGTCTTCTGGGGAGCTGCACTCTCAGAATGGAAATTCACTTAAGGGAGAAGAAAGAGCAATGCAAAGTGATAAAGTGTTGAGCAACTGGTACTCGGTGCTCCTGTTGCCTCTGCCGCAGCCTGCACGGAGCTGCCAAGGGACGCGTCCCTCCTCCTTCTTCTCCTCCTCCTCCCTCTCCTCCTCCCTCGACTGGGTCTGGTCTCAGGCCACCGCAATCGGGTTTCTGTCTTGTAGAGGGCTCCTGTAGGTGAGACGGGAAAGGGGGCTTTATCTCTGATTATAAACACAGGATAACTTGTAACCTCACAAGCTGAAACACAACTTTCAGGCTGCAGTGTGAATCTCAGCTGCTGCCACACTGCGCAGCTACTGGCACCTACCGTGAGCTCTGAGTGACTGTGCCAAGGACCGGCCCTGTACTGCAGGCCATAGCACTCACGAGAGGAGAAAGGGAGGCTAACCTTGGCACGTGCTATGGTAGCATCGTCTCCTGAGGAAATTGTTAGAGAGGGAGGGGAAAGTACTAGCAGACCCTCGGTCGTGCTTCCTCTGAAGGACAGAGCTAGAGGGCAGCGACCATGGGGTGAGTGTCATCACTCACTCCATACTATGTTTTCTTGAAACATCAGTTACTGAATGCAGAATGGACAGTGTCTTTCTTTAAACCCTGGGCTGCATGGCATTTGTTTTCTGGCATTTGTGAATCACCAAAGGAATGTCAATAACTTATAATAAAATTCTGGGTACCTAATGTTTTCTGAGACCAATCTGAGAAGCCACAAAGCAGAACGATGTTATTACCAATTGAAGCCACGCATATTAACTAATGAAAATATAAGATCTATTTTATGGAGGAAAATGAAAACAACTTGTTCCTCAGAAAGATTGGCCACTTTCCTGTAATGGGAATATTGGTACTTCGGGATAATACTAAAAGACAAGATCTTTCTGACAGGCCATTAAACAATTTGGCAAAACCTATCACATATCTTTCCCTGGGCCTGAATCCTAGTTCTACTGTTTATCAATTACATGACTTCAGCAAGCAATTGAGCACATCTGTTCCTCAGTTTCCTTATCTGTAAAATAGGGATTGTAATAGTACTTACTTCATTGAGTTGTAAAAATGTAGATGAATGCACATATAAAGCTTTAAGAGGGATGCTTGATCATATACAATGCTGAATAAACTTTATTATTTTTATTATTATACTTTGTTGGATCTTTCACTTATTTTATTAACCTTGAATTCAGCTTAGTGTATGTGTATATATATATACACACACACTAATCAAAAAATTAAATTATCAGATCAACATTCACAGTAATTTCATCTTGATAAATATTAAATTTCCCAGGTTTAACAAAATGCAGCAAATATCCTCAAGTGGTTTACAATCAGTTTGTTATAGTCAAATCCCTAATACGTAAAGTAAATAAGACATCCATACTGAAGTGTTTATATAAAAATTTTCCTATTCTATGCTTTGGAATTTGTCTGTCCAAATCCTTGTATTTTCTCAGTTGTAAATCATAATTATAGCTGATATTTATTGCACACTGTGTCCAAGGTCACACAGTTATTTAGCAGCAGAATTCCTAGACTCTTAACCACTACACACTACAGCTTCACTAAAAGTTCATTTATTAACTTTTACGTCTTGACACAATCAAAAATTAACAAGAAAAGCAAATATCCTAAGATATATCTTTAAATTATTTGAGAGCTTGAGCTCCAATATGCTTTCTCCCATTAAGCCATGAATTTTGGAATAGGCAGAGGGAAAAAGCAAGCTTCAATGTTCCCTCATTACAATCTCATTAAGCAGCGACTCCTTCGACCCTTGCCTTCTGGCCATGTTCTGACATTGTTTAATGAGGTGATAGCAACACACGCAAAACACATTAAAAAATACTTGTTTATGTCTTAGATTTTATCTCAAATTACTTGTTTATGTCTTAAAATTAATTTTCTTCATGAATAGTTTTCAAATTCGACTGGAAAAAACCCATCCTCAGCCATTCGGAAGGTTGGAAAAGAAAATCACATTCTCAGCTGAGTCTATAGAAGCTGGAAATTCAGAGCTCACAATTTCCTCTCTTCTCAATAGCCCCCCTACGGCACGGGCAAATCTGCTCTGAAAGGCAAATATTGACTGTCATATCCCTGCAAGTAGAGAAAAATGCACTTCTTCACACACTGCTCCTAAGGGGTTGGGACATCCTTGTTTGAAGGAGGTATGTTGGTTCCTTGAACCTGTGACCATAGAGGGGAGTTTAAATCATATTTGTTTCAAAGGCTCCAAGAGGTACCCAGCTGACATTTTCAATTCCTTCATCATAGTGAATTTCTTACAGAAATAAAAGATTCATCCAACTCACAAGAATTTTACCTAACTTGAAATGAGCTCTACATACGATGTGTTAGTTTACAAAAGACTATGGTCTACCTTAATGGCGTTAGCAATAAAGAAATTAAAGTACATCCAGCTTTCTTAACAGTGCTAAACAGCTCCATAATTGTTTGTAGAACTGAAGGAGACGGCCTTCTCTCTGCAATCCATTCCACAAAGATAAGATGATTTTGAAATATCCTTGCTACTAAACCAGTTGTGAAAAATACTGTCAATAATTGGTAGTGGAGATACATTGAACTACTAAGCTATCTGGCACAGCAATCTGAGTGTGAGAAAAGTTGCTACAATGTATGCCCTAAGAATCCTGGAAAATATAGCCAAAAGTAAATGGGATTGAGAAGCACTGTCTTATTCATCATTTATTGTTCCCTTGTGTTTATTGTGCAGCCCATTTAAAAATATATATTATTTGCCATTGGGGAAAATGGCGTGGAAACAGAGTTAAAGAAACTGATACATTACAGTTCTCCACCAAGAGCTCCCTATGGAGACATGCAACATAACATCTGAGCTGAAAGTATAATTCGATATTGATCAGATTGCAGTCAAGTAAACTTTTGATATACTTTAATCTGGCTTAAGAAAAATTTTTTTTTAAAGAAATTAACTTTGGCAGTCTTGAAAAATGTGGTATTCATAGAGTTAGTGTAAAGATATCATTTCCTTTCTTTGGGTAATCAAATAGAAGCTCACATCTCCTCTCACAGCCCCTCCGCAGCTGACCTTCCTCACACTCATAGCTTGTCTCATCTCAGAGGTAAAAACGTGTCGGAATATGAATTAGTTCCAATATTATCTGTTTAAATTTCATTATCTGTGTATTTACTTATTGATCCCTGACACAGCTGAAAATTAGCTCTTAGCACAATGGAAAGGATTTGTTTCTAGTGTCCTCATCTACAAAATGAGGACACTGAGGCCTGTCCTTGTCTCCAGGTAAGATTTCATAAATTTGAATGAGATCGTTCAGTAAAGCTCATTGATCAAAGGCTCTATGAGACTCTAATGCTGTAAACCACCGGAGGGAGAGACTAGAAGGGATATCAAAGGGAAATTGTATACTGCACACATCATTATAATAGTAAAACTGTTTAAAGGCCCCTTTGTGACTAGATCTTTGAACATTATAAATGAAGAATTCTACACCATCAAAGGCAAGCCAAGGGTGTTGGGACCAGACAGATTCTTTAGGGATTTGGCACTCAATGTGACAAGGGAAAGATATGCGGCAGCATTTTCCACTGTCACCTCCCATCCGGTTGAGAGTGTACCTTGCTTTGCTAGATAGGCGTAGATCGGAGGAAATACCCAGACATGGGCTCGTGAACTGCAGCCAGGGGCAGGGTAGAGTTGCCAGGTAAAATACAGGACATGCACTATTTGGGACATGTGAATACTGAAACGCTTATTTTTTGTGTTTATTTGAAATTCAAATTTAACTGGGGCATCCTGTGTTATTATTTGCTAAATCAAGCAACCCTCGACCGGGAGCTCGGTGAGGATTTCAACAGATGTAGATGCAGATCCTAGGACGTACCTGTCCTAGTGAGCAGAACAAGATCAACACAATAGTTGGTGGCTAATAACAGTAGTGCAGATAAGTGGTCAACAAAGGTCTAATAACTGTGCTCTTCCTCTCCCCCTCTAGAACTGGCACAAGATCAAGGCCATGCTAGCAAGAGCAAATGGACAATGAGTCCCAAAACAGTGGGCTAGAGGGGTGGTTTCTGCCTCCACACTATTCACAGATGCAAACTCTCCAATCAGTAACATATCACTTTATGTGTCCCCAGAGGTGTATCAAATTTCCCAACAAGGAGGTAGAATCTAAAAAATCCACCCCAAATATGCACCACCACCACAGCCATCCTCTCAATTAGCAATTTGACCATTTTATTTTATGGAGAGTGGATTCAAGGGGAGCAAGATGAAGACAGGGAGACCCATGAACAGACAAGTTCAATAGATCAGGCGAGAGATAATAATGGGTTGGCTGGGGATGGGTGTGGGGGACAGTGGAGATGGAGCAAAGTAGGAAGACAGAAGCAGCATTTTGGAGGAAGAATGGACAGGTCGCAATAAGGGGCTTCCTCCAGGATATAAGGGAGAGGAAAGTGGCAAGAATCCCTCTCGGGTTTCTGACCTGCTGAAGGACTCTGTATGAAGGGAACAAGCTGAGCAGATTTGATGATCGTTCCTAGAAGACAAGACTGTCAGTTGGTAGAAGCGGATATGGCTGA